TGCAGCTCTGGTCCCCACTTTCCCTGATGTATGATATACCACCCAATGTAGGGTCCCGCATTTATTTATTGGCCTTCTTGATGGACACTGAGGTGGTTCCCAGAGTCTTGCTATTCAAACAGTAAATACTCTCAAAGGTCGTCCTTTGCGCATATGTGAGTTTTCTTTTCGGTTGCCCCACAGGAGTGGAATTGCTGGGTCATAGGATATGTACACTCCATGTTTTAAAGTTATTTAGTTTTCTTATAAAAGCAGTGTTTCTTCAGACATAATGGAAACACATATTCGTACAAACGGGAAACACATTCTTGTAGAAAAAAAGTAACAATGGCTAACATTTCTTGAGTACTTTTACTGTGCTTACATTGTCTCAGTCATTCTTCTCAACAACCCTAGGAAGTAGGAACTGCCATTCTCGTTTTCTTGATGAGGACACTGAGGCTCATAGAGGTTAAAGAACCTTCCTAAGTTTCTCTAATGAGTAATTGCTGAGCTGCAGTTTGCAACCAGGGTTTTCCACTTTCAGAACTCTTGAAGGCCACACTGCCCTGTCACATCACTCCATGCCACATCATACTCACTTCATTCACGGCTAAGGGGGATTCTCGGAAGGAGAGTCACAATCATGTGCAATTGAGAGAGGTCACTTTGGGATGGGTCCCCGTGGACAGATCCCCTCCCAGCCCCCCACCCCGGACAGAGTTCCTCCTGAATGGTGAAGCAGGGAGGAAAAGCCACCTCTGGCTCCAGTCTGCTTCCTGAGTGACTTCCTTGCACTGCGTCTGCTGCCCCAGTGGGGATAGAGAGGTCCCCCTGCTCCATCCATCCTGTGCATCAGGTGTCAGGGTAGCAGCTTCCAGACAGATGAAAGCTGGGAAGGGGGAGGGAAGGGGAGAGTGGGGTGACTCCAGGCCGCCTGACAGCTCCCTTCTCACTCCAGCCTCAAGCCTCCCTCCCCTACGATGCCAAAGCTCCTGGCGTTGGTCACCAGCCCTGCTCCATGCTCCATCCAGCTCAGCGGCACCCCAGTGTCTCAGGTTCTCCAAGGCACAGTGGAAAGGCCACCATCAACCCCTCAGGAGCTCAGTAATGTATTAACCTGGGCTGGCAAGGTGGCTTGGAGCAGAAAGGCCTTGAAGACACAGGACAGCCTGCAGAGAAGTGGGGACCTCAGTCACAGCCAGGGGAGGAGAAAGGTTTGGCAAGCTTGCTTTTTTTGGAAAGCATTTCTGTCTTCTCCCTAGGTTCCTTATCTTCATTGTCTTTGTCTCCTTATCTGTCAAATGCAGATAAGCGGGCCTGCCTCTGGGCTGGTGGGAGAATTGAAACAAGGCAGTCATCAGTTTAGAACCTGAAGTGAGAATCTCATGGTGGTGAAGGGGTGGTTATTAATGCCATCATTAAGTCAAATGGGACCAGTGTCCCCAGCCTTCCTGAGCTCCCTAGCCAGCCAGGACATCCCCACCTCACACCACTTAGCAGGCCTTCCAGAGCCTGTCTTGCCACCTCACCTGTGTGGCTCGTGCCTCTTTATCACTATGGTATCATGACTCTAGCTCCTTGCTTGCCTTTTTCCCCTTCTTGGACTTCTTTTCCCATCTTGTCCTCAGATCAGTGCCATCTTTTCCAGAAAGCTTCGTCGAGTGCCCTGTCTCCACTTCTGGGCCATCAGTGATCCCCGTGATTGCAGCCTTGATGGTTCTGGCTGTCATTGCCTCTGCCTGCATCTGTCACTTCTGTAGACTGTGAACTCTTCAAGAGCAGGGCCGGGTCTGGGTCAGAACCGGAGATGAGTGGGTATTTGTGGGATCAAAGGAAGGAGGAAATCAGCCCCAGGGCCACCCCAGAGCAGCTCCCGGTCTGCAGAGGTCACGTCAGACCCACTTAAGCAGCTAAGCAGAAGAGGTACTGGGGCTGTCAAGGGAGGGAATGCCCCTCTGTGCTATGGGTCCACCTGTCTTTCTCTCCACATAGAGCGAACAGGCAGAACGTCTTTCTTGATGGGAGGCAGAGGTGGTGGTGGCAGTAGGGTGTATGCAGAAATGGGAGGTAGGCTCTTGGCTCTGGAGTTGTTTAGAGATGGTCATAAGCCAGGACAATGGGCTTGACTTCTTGGAGCTGAGCTGGTGGGTGGGCACTGGCTTAGGCAGAAACTTGGTTAGAACCCATGCTTGGGCATGTGATCGTGGCCTGGTCACCTCTCCTCAGTGCCTCATCTGTAGTGGGGATAATAATCCTACTTCACAGGCTTTGTGAGGGCTCAAGGAGAGAAGCCCAGTTAAACGCTCAGGGTGGTAGGTGCTCACTGCCTCTTCACCCGTTCATCCAACAGAATGGGCAGACTGAACACCAGTCACTAGGCTAAGCCCTGGGCACAAAGGAAGACACTGTGCCTATCTCATGAAGAAAGGGACAGGGGCTGCTTCTGGTGGGGCCTTTTCTGCCATAGGAAGAAAGTTGGTCTTTATCCTAAGAGTAATAGGAAGCCAGTGAAGGATTTCAAGTTCAGAAGTGACATGGTCAGATTTGGGTTTTAAACAGATAACTTTGGCTATTGTGAGAAGGATGGGTTAGAGGGAATAATGCTTCTGTCATTCTCCCTTATAAAAACTCCCTAGAGGCTACATGGGTTACTTCAGCCATCCTTTAAAATACATTCCTGAGCTCCCACAGAAGTAACAGAAATCCTCTCAAGCCAAGAATATAAAGGATGCTGAAATCAGGCTGATAAATGAGATGAAGCCTCAGCAACATGAGGGTGTTGACAAATTCCAGAAATCCAGAACCTTGAGTTTTAATGACCACTCAAGGGATGATAAGTAAGGAGTTGGGCCGACCCAGTGACAGTGTGAGGAGTTGAAACCTAGCCCTCCTACCACCACCACATGCATCTGGAACCTTCAGAGGGCTACCCCCTCAGCAAATAGACCAGAAAGAAATAGCCACCTTCTCACAAAATGTGGGACGACAGGTCTGGTGGAGAAATTTATAAATACAAATCTGCCCTCACACAAATTTTGTGTTTGAAGACATACTCCCTTTGTGGTCCTGGAGATACTAACCCAAAAAAGTAACTTAAGTATCATCGGATGGTAGCACCCCAGGGAATCTGGCCAAAGTAAGTGAAAATCCTCTCTGGAGGAATAGATTTTTCTCCTAAGATCCCTTTGGGATCAGCCAATAAATAGGAGCTCATGGTAAAATTACAAAACACAAGGAAACAAGTCATTGTGAGCAGTAGACACCCAAATCAAGAAACAACAGAATTTGTTTCCCTGAGAGTCTAAGATGCTAGAATTAAGATCTAGAATATAAATATTTTAATAAACATGTAAAGAAATCAAAGATGGACTTGAAGCAATAAGCGGGGAACAAAACACTGCCCCAAATGACCAAGCAGATTTGAAAAGGAAACAAGTGGAATTTCTGGAAATGTGAAAGATAATCATTGAAATTAAAAACTCAGGAAAAGTAGCAGATCAGATACACCTCAAGAGAATTAGTGAAATGGAGGATCTGAAGAAATTACTGAGAATCTCACGGAGTCAAAGAGATGGCAAGAAGAGCGTTAAGAGACTTGAAATATTGAGCAAAACAGTCCAACAGAGAGAGAGAAGGGGTAGGAGGGGCGAGAGCAGAAGGGGCAGTCTTCCATCAGACCCAGGTGGGGGTGATGGCGGTGCCCTGGAGCTCGCTGGGCTCAGAAGGGGCTGGGTTGAGAGATGGTCGGGAGGCAGAACTGACAGAGCTCAAGGAGAGGGGTGTATTAGGGCTGACTCTCAGATTTCTGGCTTGAGAAACTGGGTAGAGGAGTGTCATTTATTAAGATGGCAAAGACTAGGGGAGAACAGCTTTGGGAGAATGAACAAGAGTTCAGTTTTGAACAAGATACATGTTTTGATTTGCCGGGACGATCCGCTGCTGCATCACGGAAGAGATATTCAAGCTGGACCCTAAGGCATGTGTAGACTTTTATCTGGTAGAAAGGGACTCTCCCTCAACTAACTTTTGGGGAAGGATCTCCTTTTAGTGAAGTCATCAAGGCCCCTTTTGAAATCTTCTCTCAAAAGAGACTCCTTGAGAAGAGATGTCCTCAAGACCATCCTCAAGATAGGACTTTTGGGATCTCCTAGTTTAATCTCTTATTTTTCAGATGGGGAAGCTGAGACCCAGAAGGGTCAAGGATTTGTTCTTCTCGTTCAATCATTTTTTTTTCCATTCATTTAACAGATACTTATCAAAAGCCCACTTTGTACCAGATACTAGATGCCGGGGATACAGCAGTGAACAAAACAAGGATTCTTGCCCTTGGGAAGCTTATTTTTAGTGGAGGGAGACAGACAATAAGCACAAAATAAGTAAAAATAAATAATAAATAAAAATAAAAGTGTGTGTGTGTGAGGGTGATGAAAGCCATAGAGAAGTATAAGGACTAGAAGATGGTCTGGTCCACTGAAATGCTGTTGGGAAGGTGACCCTTGAGGATAAAGGGCCCTGGAAAGGCCTTACAGTCTGCTGCACACTACAGCCCATTGTGACAGAGCTTCTGGGGTTCTAGAGTGCAGGCCCGAGGAGGGCAGGAGAAGTCCTGGAGAAGGAGGAGGGAAAAGGACTGAAGTGGGATTCAGTGGGTGGGCTGTGCCCCCCTGGGGGCGGGGGGCAGAAAAGCCCGATGGGTCAGAAGGGCCATAAAGACTCCCTTTACCCTTGTGAGGGGTAAGATAAATTTGTTCCTGAGGCTTCCTTGCCCTCCATCCTCTGCTCCTCCCCAATCCCCTCCACCAGATCTCAGATGACACCCCCATTCTGCTCTCCTCCCACCTTTAGGAACACTTAGAGGTGGGTCCAAGTTGTCTTTGTGTCCCAGTACAGAGCGGGCAGCCTGGAAGAGCTTGTGACAGGCACCCAAGGCCCACAGGGAGGTCTCATGGGTTCAGTGGGGCTCAGTTCCAGCTTGGAGTGGGGTTGAGGTCTCCTGGTCACTTGAGTGTCTCTCCCAGCAGGACTTCTGTGAGCAGCCTCCATGAGGCCCTGGACCAGTGCATGATCGCCCTGGACCTCTTCCTCACCAACCAGTTCTCAGAAGCACTCAGCTACCTCAAGCCCAGGTGAGGCTTAAGCCTAGGTTGGGGGTGGGGGCCCCGGGGTGTATGTGTGTGTGTGTGTGCACGTGTGTGCGTGTGCGCACGCACATGCGTGCGTGCACACACCTGGGTACACTCGGGAGTCCACGTGTGGGGAGGGATGGGGGGAGTTGTCTGGTCATGGAGAACTAGAAGTCTTATGTAAGAGGAAACCCGTGTAACTGACTGCCTTCAGCCTTCTGGGTCACCATGACCCTCTGAGTCCCATAAAAGTAGGGGCTCAGGCTCCCCATTCTACAGCCCTGGACAGCCAGGCCCTCCCCAAGGTCATTGTGACTTCCTTCCTTTTAGGTTCTCATGGCCTCTTCCACTTTGATTTCTTGTTACCACTGAATCCACTCGGGGTTTCTCTCCGGTCAGCTCTAACACAGCTGCTTTTCCTCATTTTTCCCCAGAGCACTAAAGATTTGAGTTGCCGTTACTCGAGCCCTTTAGGGTAATAATGTCGGTTAATCATTTAGCCATTTCTTCCAGTGTTTACTGCCTTCTTGCTAAATAATATGCTTATACTACTCTTCCTTTATCACTTTTTTCAGTTTTTTAAAAAGATTTTATTTATTTGTCAGAGAGAGAGAGAGTGAGCGTGCGCATGCTTGAGCACAAGCAGGGGGAGCAGCAGGCAGAGGGAGAAGCAGGCTTCCCGCTGAGCAAGGAACGGGATGCGGTCTCAATCCTAGGACCCTGGGATCATGACCTGAGCCGAAGGCAAATGCTTAACCCACTAAGCAACCCAAGTGTCCCCTTTTATCAACTTTTTAAAGACAAATTGAGCTAGAATTCATACACCGTAAAATTATGTTTTTTTTTACCTTTTACTTTTAAACATCTATTGGTAAACAAGAATTTAGCTTTCTTACTTTTTTTGTAATATAATAGTTCATTTTTTTAAAGTTGGTCATTTCTTTTTTTTAATTAACAAATAATGTATTATTTGTTTCAGGGGTACAGGTCTGTGATTTATCAGTCTTGCACAATTCACAGCGCTCACCATAGCACATACTCTCCCTAATGTCCATCATGCAGCCACCCCATCCCTCCCCCCCCCCTCCACTCCAACAACCCTCAGTTTGTTTCCTGAGATTAAGAGTCTCTTATGGTTTGTCTCCCTCTCTGGTTTCATCTTGTTTCATTTTTCCCTCCCTTCCCCTATGATCCTCTGTCTTGTTTCTCAAATTCTTTTATCAGTGAGATCATATGATACTTGTCTTCCTCTGATTGACTTATTGCGCTTAGCATAGTACCCTCTAGATCCATTTGCAAGATTTCATCTTTTTGATGCTGTATAATATTCCAATATATATTTATACCACATCTTCTTTATCCATTCATCTGTTGATGGACATCTGGCCCTTTCCATAGTTTGGCTATTGTGGACATTGCTGCTATAAACATTGGGGTGCATGTGCCCCTTCGGATCACTACATTTGTATCTTTGGGGTAAATACCCAGGAGTGCAGTTGCTGGGTTGTAGGGTAGCTCTATTTTCAATTTTTTGAGGAACCTCCATACTGTTTTCCAGAGTGGCTGCACCAGCTTGCATTCCCACCAACAGTGTGGGAGGGTTCCCCTTTCTCCGCATCCTCGCCAACATCTGTTGTTTCCTGACTTATTAATTGTAGCCATTCTGACTGGTGCGAGGTGGTGTCTCAGGTTTTGATTTGGATTTCCCTGATGCCGAGTGATGTTGAGCACTTTTTCATGTGTCTTTTAGGCCATTTGGATGTCTTCTTTGGAGAAATGTCTGTTCATATCTTGTGCCCATTTCTTGATTGGATTATTTGTTCTTTGGGTGTTGAGTTTGATAAGTTCTTTATAGATTTTGGATACTAGCCCTTTATCTGATATGTCATTTGCAAATATCTTCTCCCATTCTGTCGGTTGTCTTTTGGTTTTGTTGACTGTTTCCTTTGCTACAGAAGCTTTTTATCTTGATGAAGTCCCAATAGTTCATTTTTGCCCTTGCTTCCCTTGCCTTGGCGATGTTTCTAGGATGAAGTTGCTGTGGCTGAGGTTGAAGAGGTTGCTGCCTGTGTTCTCCTCAAGGATTTTGATGGATTCCTGTCTCACTTGTAGGTCTTTCATCCATTTTGAGTCTATTTTTGTGTGTTGTGTAAGGAAATGGTCCAGTTTCATCCTTCTGCATGTGGCTGTCCAATTTTCCCAATACCATTTGTTGAAGAGACTGTCTTTTTTCCATTGGACATTCTTTCCTGCTTTGTCGAAGATGAGTTGACCATAGAGTTGAGGGTCCATTTCTGGGCTCTCTATTCTGTTCCATTGATCTATGTGTCTGTTTTTGTGCCAGTACCATGCTGTCTTGATGATGACAGCTTTGTAATAGAGCTTGAAGTCCAGAATTGTGATGCCACCAGCTTTGCTTTTCTTTTTCAACATTCCTTGGGCTATTCAGGGTCTTTTCTGGTTCCATACAGATTTTAGGATTATTTGTTCCATTTCTTTGAAAAAAGTGGATGGTATTTTGATGGGGATTGCATTGAATGTGTAGATTGCTCTAGGTAGCATAGACATCTTCACAATATTTGTTCTTCCAATCCATGAGCATGGAACGTTTTTCCATTTCTTTGTGTCTTCCTCAATTTCTTTCATGAGTATTTTCTAGTTTTCTGAGTACAGATCCTTTGCTTCTTAGATTTATTCCTAGGTATGTTATGGTTTTGGGTGCAATTGTAAATGGGATCGACTCCTTAATTTCTCTTTCTTCTGTCTTGTATAGAAATGCAACTGATGAATTTAGCCTGCCCTACCTCCCTTCCCTCATCCTCCTCTCATCATTATATCACAATATCTGGCTAAATCAATAATGTTTACATTATTATAATTTTGGTAACTAATGCTCATGGCAGAGACAAGTTATACATTGTAAGATTACATTTCCTTTCTGGAGTTAATAATTGTCTTGTCTTTTCATTTGCCTAATTTGCTATATACATTTATCCTGAACTCTTTCTAGCCTTTTCCCTGGAAACCTGAACCCTGGAAGACAGATGTGTCTATTGGCCACCTCCCAGCTATCTCCTAGAAATCCCTTTGCTTCTCTCCCGTTTCCTTGACCTGGCTTTTTCTCTGGGATCCTCCCTCATTTTACCACAGTGTGTCCTCCAGAAACTTCCTAGGAAGGAGTTGCATGAATATAATTTCTCCCCCCTCAGAACTTTGAAGGCATTGCATCCCTGTTTTCTAGCATCTACTGTAACCATGGGAACCCTAATTTCTTCAAACTTTGCGTGTGATCATTATTTCTTCCCCAGAAATGTTTAGAATCTTCTCTTTTATTCTTGCAAATCTGAAATTTCACAATGATGTGCTGAAACATAGGTCTTTTATTTGGAGCCTTTCAGTTCTGGGACCTTCTCTAGCATGACCACTCCATGTTCTGTCTCCCTTTCTCAGGCTTTCTTTAAGTCAAACACTGGACCTCCTGGACCCGTCCTCTTCTAAGCCTCCTGTTTTCCCTCTAATTTTGCATTTCTTTCTCTTTTTTTTCCTCTTATTTGGGGGAGATTTCCTCAACCTTATCATTAAATCCTTCTATTAAGTTAGAAGAGATCCTTCTATTTTCTTTTTTTCTGTGATCATATGATTAATTTCCTTGTACTCATTGTTCTCTGAATGTTCTTTTTTTCCCTAAAACATTTTATCCTTGGTTTATAGATGTACTCTGTTCTTTGTGTATATTTTTGAAATATGAGAATCCTTAGGATAGGGCCTGGCATATAGTAAGCACTCTAGTAAATATTTGTTGTTACTATCACAGAATATTGTCTCCCAAATATTTTAATTTTTTTCCTGTATAATCTTGGCTTTCTCCAGATTCCCTTTTTCTGTGTAATGGGGGAATCTTCTGGTGCGGGCTTTTCTCAAATGCCTGATGGCCCCTGGTTGTCCGGTCATATTTAAGAGCTAGTTCTTGTCCTTGTAATTGGTGGGATTGGCTTTTGGATGGCCCAGCAGTCCCCACACCTTATCCCCACCCTTTGAGGGGATCTGGGCTTGAGATGGGGCAGGGGCAGATCTGCAGCAAGAGTGTAGCCACCATCTGAGGTTGGCCAAGCTCCATCTTGCTGCATCCCTGAACATCTAGGTTCCCTTCCCAGTATTCTTTTTTAAGATTTTATTTATTTATTTATTTGTCAGAGAGAGAGAGCACAAGAAGGGGGAGTGGCAGACAGGGAGGGAGAAGCAGGCTCCCTACTGAGCAAGGAGCCGATGTGGGGCTGGATCCCAGGACCCTGGGATCATGACCTGAGCCGAAGGGAGACGCTTAACTGACTGAGCCACCCAGGCGCCTCTCCCTCCCAGTATTTTTGAAAGACTCCCCGGCTCCACTTTCCTTCTGGTCATTACCTGTCCCTAAGCAGGCTCCTCCCTACCACCTCCCCCCACACCTTCCACACCCTCTCTCCACAGCCCCCTTGTGTGGAGGGGCTGCCTCACCCTCCCTCACCTCAAGAGGGCACTCTACCACAAGTCCTACAACTCAGGCCTGACAACTCAGGCCCCGGAGAGGAAATCCTTGCCCTGAACGAAGGAGACACTACAGAGAGACCAGCCTTTCCATGAGGCTACCTTTTAATGTCATACTTAAGGCAGTGAAGCTGCCCCTTAGCCCCTGCCCCATTCCAGAAAAGAATCTTTCCTTTCTTTTTCAGTTTAAGAGCGTTCGCTCCAAACAGTAGATGTTGTTAGCACACTCCCAACCCACATCCCCATTTTGACAACCAAAAAATGTTTCAAGAAATTGCCAGATGCTAGGGAGCCAGGGGGAGACAGGAAAATTATCTCCCCATCTTTATTAAGAAGCACTGGTCTAGGGGAAATAATTCTTGCTAAAAATGGCCTCCCCTCTTCATTTATAGCCATCGAAGTTTAAAAAGATGTTGGGGTCCAGTTTCATTCCCTGTTCCTCATTGTGCAAGGTCCTCAGGAATAATGGGCTCATCAAGCTCCAAGCCTCATGCCCCAGCCTGGGCATCTGTTTTCTGTGTTTGTCACTTCTATGAGTAACTTCTAGTTTATTTTGCTGCTTGCTGGTAGAGGAGGGAAGGGGTGGAGGCCACTAGGCTTAGCTGACCTCCACATGGCTCGAGGAGTCCCAGGTCCCAACACCCTGCTCTTCTGACGGCTCTTCCAGTGCCCTCCCCAACTTGACAGCTGGTCTGGGCCTAGAAGGTAGGACCCCAGTGAGCATCATGTCCCAGAGCTGGGTTTCGCTCAGAGGTGAGGGGGCTCTTACTCTCAGGGGTCAGGATTCTATAAGCAAACAAGAACTTGTGGATTGTAAACTAACTTGGGGTGCCTGAGGTTTGGGGAGTTGTCCTACCCCTGTATCTGCTTCACAGATACTGCATTTGTTACAAATCGAAGGTTTGTGGCAAGCCTGCCTCAAGCAAGTCTGTCTGCGCCATTTTTCCAAGAACATTTACTCACTTTGTGTCTCTGTGTTACATCTGGTAATCCTTGCAATATTTCAGACTTTCCCATTATTACTATATTTGCTGTGGTGATCTGTGATCAGTGATCTTTGATGTTACTATTGTAATTGTTTTGGGCCACCACTATGTAAGACAATGAACTTAATAAATGTTGTTTGTGTTCTGACTGGTCCACTGACCAGCCATTCCCCCCTCTCTTGCCTTCTCCTTGGGACTCCCTATTCCCTGAGACACAACAATATTGAAATTAGACCAGTTAATTTCAGGGCCTGCCGTGGCCCCTGAGCGTTCAGGTGAGAGGAAGAGTTGCACGTCTCTCCCTTTAAATTAAAAGCTGGAAATGACTAAGCTTAGTGAGGAAGGCATGTCAAAAGCCAAGATGGACTGAAAGCTAGGCCTCTTGCACCAAACAACCAAGTTGTGAAAGCAAAGGAAGAGTTCTTGGAGGAAATTGAAAGTGCTACTCCAGTGAACACACGAATGATAAGAAAGTCAGCCAGCCTTACTGCTGAGGTGGAGAAAGTGTGAGTGGTCCGGATAGAAGAGCAAACCAGCCACCACATCCTCTTAAGCCAAAGCCTGACCCAGAGCAAGGTCCTCGCTCTCCTCTACTCTGTGAAGGCTGAGAGAGGTGAGGAGGCTGCAGAAGGAAAGTTGGAAGCAGCAGAGGTGGGTTCATGAGGTTTAGGGAAAGAAGCCGCCTCCATAATGTGGAAGTACCAAGGTGAAGCAGCCATCTGGGTTTAGATGCTGCAGCAGGTGATCCGGAAGCTCTGGCTCAGATCACTCATGACGGTGGCTACACTAAACAACAAATTTTCAGTGTAGACGGAACAGCCTTCTATTGAAAGAAGATGCTATCTAGGACTTCCATAGCTAGAGAGAAGTCAGTGCCTGGGCTTCAAAGCCTCAAAGGACAGGCTGACTCTCTTGTGAGGGGCTAATGCAGCTGTGACTTACAAGTTGAAGCTCATGCTCCTTTAGCATCCTGAAAATTCTGGGGCTCTTAAAAATTATACTAACTCTGGGGTACCTGGATGGCTCAGTCGTTAAGCGTCTGCCTTCAGCTCAGGTCATGATCCCAGGGTCCTGGGATCAAGCCCCGCATCAGGGTTCCCTGCTCAGCGGGAAGCCTGCTTCTCCCTCTCCCACTTCC